GTACTCTGCAGTTGTTGGCTAGAAGGTTCTACAAATGTTAATTAAATCAAGTTGGTTGATAGTGTTTTAATTTTGTCTTCCGTGTCTCTGTTGATTTTCTGTCTTCTTGCTCTATCAAATACTAAGAAAGGGAATGTGGAAATCTCCAATTATTATTGTAGACTTATCTATTTTTCCTTCCAGTTCTATTAGGTTTTGCTTTATGTATTTTGGAGCTCTGTTATTAGGCATATACATGTTTAGATTATTATGTTTTCTTGATAAATTAACCCTTTATCATTAAGAAATGTCCCTCCTTATCCCTGGTAATAATTCTTGTTCCAAAACTACTGTGCCTCAAATTAATGTAGGCACTCCAGGTTTCTGATAATTAATGTTTGCATGTATATATTTTTGTATTCTTTTAATTTTAACCTATCTGTGTCTTTATATTTAAAGTGAGTTTCTCATAGACAGCACATAGTTGAGTCTTGCCTTTTATCCAATCTGACAAAATTATGTATAAATCCACCATTTGGCTATTTTTTTATTTGTCCCATCTATTCTTTGTCCCTTTTCTTTTCTTTCCTGACTTTTTTGCATTTTTTATCTTGTTTTGCTTTGGTATTCCATTTGATCTCCACTGGCTTATTAGTTATCCTTTATTACTATATCAGTGTTTGCTCTGCTTTTACAATGTGCATCTTTAACTTATCACAGTGTACTCTCAAATATACCAGTTCCCATGAAATGTGGAACCGTACAACAGTATACTTCCACTTCCCCTCCCATCCTTTCAGCTGTTGTCATCCATTTTACTTCTATAGAGGTTATAAACCCCACAAACATTGTTATTACTCTTGCTTTCAACAGTTGAGTATCTTTCTTTTCTTTTTTCTTTTTTTTTTTAAGACAGGGTCTCACTCTGTCACCCAGACTGGAGTGCAATGGTGCAATCATGGCTCACTGCAGCCTCAACCTCCTGGGCTCAAGCAACCCTCCCACCTCAGCCTCCCAAGTAACTGGGACTACGGCCATGTGAGGCTGCAGCGAGCCGTGATTGCAACACTACACTCCAGCCTGGGTGACAGAGTTAGACCCTGTCTTAAAAACAGAAAAAAAAAAAAAAAAAGAAAAAGAAATAATGAAAGACACTCAACTGTTGAAATCAAGAGTAATACCAATGTATTGTGGGGTTTATAACCTCTATAGAAGTAAAATGGATGACAACAGCTGAATTTTTGTATTTTTTGTAGAGACAGAGTCTTGCTATGTTACCCAGGCTGGTCTCAAATTCCTGGGCTCAAGCAATTTGCCCACCTCAGCCTCCCAAAGTACTAATATTACAGGCATGAGCCACTGCACCCAGCCCAGATGGGTATCTTTCAGAGAAATTTTTAAAGAAGGAAATAATATGTTTCATATTTACCCACATTTTTTGCCATTTCTGATACTCTGTCTTCCTTTATGTAGATCCAAGCTTTTATCTGATATCATCTTTTCAGCCTTAAGAACTTTTCTTTAATATTTCTTATAGTACAGGTCTGATGGCAATACATTCTCTCAGCTTGTCTTTGTCTGAAAAGGTGCTTGTTTTTCTGCTCATTTTTTAAAAGTCATTTTATCTGATTTAGATTTATGGGTTCACAGGGCTTTTTTTTTTTTTTTTTTTTTTTCAGCACTTTAAAGATTTCATTTCAATGTTTTCCATTTGCATCTGGTTTTTTTTTTTGAGACAGAGTCTTGCTCTATCACTCAGGCTAGAGTGCGGTGGCATGATCTCGGTTCACTGCAACCTCCACCTCTCGGGTTCACACCATTCTCCTGCCTCATCCTCCCGAGTAGCTGGGACTACAGGCGCCCACCACCACGCCCAGCTAATTTTTTGTATTTTTTAGTAGAGACGGGGTTTCACCGTGTTAGCCAGGATGGTCTCGATCTCCTGACCTCATGATTGCCTGCCTCGGCCTCCCAAAGTGCTGGGATTACAGGCGTGAGCCACTGCACCCAGTCCATTTACATCATTTCTAACAAGAAGTCTGTGATATCTTATTTTCGTTCCTCTCCACATAGTGTTTTGTTTTTCTGGCTGCTTTTAAGATTTTTTTCCTTTTTCGCTGATTTTCAGCAATTTGGTTATGTTGTATCTTAAGGTGGTTTTCCTTGTGTTTATTCTGCTCAGGAGTCATTGAGCTTCTGAAATTGGTGGATTTACAGTTTTAATCCACCAATTTAAATTTGAAAATTTCTCAGACTGTTTTTCAATTAAAACAATTTTCTGGGACTCCAATTACATGTATGTTTGATTTGTTGATATTGTCCCACAGGCAATTTTTTTCCTTTTTTTTCTCTCTGAACTTTATTTTGAGACTATGTTTAAGGCTTTTTAGGCCAGGCCTTTAGATAGCCTTTACTTTAATGCCAATTTAGCCCCATCACTAAGACGTGACCCTTCTGGGTCTCTGCTTAATGACTGATGGGGTCCCTCCATGCTGGTGGGAGAAAACGAGCAATTCCTACATCAGCCGCTGTTTGACTTCCAGCCCTGGTCATTGGTCTTCCTCTAGCTTCACGGAGTTTCACCCTACACATGTGCAAATGGAGAGCCAATCAAAGACCCTAAAATAATTTCTAGAACTCTTTCTCTATATAGTTCTCTCCTCTCTGGTATTCTGTCTCACAAATTCTAGCCACCTCAGCTTTCCTGAGTTGTGATCTTGGTCACCTCAACCCAGTAAGACAACTGGGTTCTGTATTCTCCTCTCTCTCTCCCTCTCTCTCTGTCTCTCCCCATCTCTGTCTCTCCCATAGCCCAAAAATTGCCCCTGGGCAGAAAGGGGGGCACACTTAGAGGCTCACCTCATCTGTTTCCCTCTCTCAGGGATATCAGTCCTGAGCTGTCTGTAGTCCAGTATCTGAAATAAATTGCTTTCTCTCCAAACAAGATGGCCAATGTGTACACAGTATGGGCACTGGGACCCTGGGTGCCAGCTGGGGCCTGCTGGGCCCACCCAACTATTCTATTTGTCCAGTTTCCTAGTATTTACAGTGCAATGATGGATGTTACTCCCTTATGATCAGAATCAGAAGTCTCAGGAATATATATTTTAGCAAAAAATCATGAGTTCACACTGATATTTCTGTTATTTCTATAACATTTCAAATATTATATTGTGAAGTTTTAGCTTACTTTTAAAATTTTATTCTTGTATTTCTTTTATTTTACCTTAAAATCTTAGTTCCTAATAGGATTAACATAATCCTATAGTATACATCAAATAATTTTGAAATAGTAGTATCAATATTATTACCAACAATAAGGCCGGGCACAGGAGCTCATTCCTATAATCCCAGCACTTTGGGAGGCCAAGGCAGAAGGATCTCTTGAACCCAGGAGTTCAAGATCAGCCTGGGCAACATAGTGAGACCCTGTCTCTACAAAAAAAAATGTAATTATCCAGATGTGGTGGTATGAACATGTAGTCCCAGCTACTCGGGAGGCGGAGGCAGGATCATGGGAGCCCAGGGGTTTGAGGCTGCAGTGGGCCGTGATCATGCCACAGAGTGAGAACCTGTCTCCAAAACAAAACCAACAAAACGAAACTCCAGAAACCAATAAGAGTATTGCATATAATTTGAAATTCCTTTTTGCCTTTAGAGTAAGTGCCACTAAAAAAGAGGAATCAAAGTACACTATTATAAAATTCCTTGATCTTGATGTAATTCTGTGTGTGTGTGGTTATGTTACTAACTTAGTATGTGGTCTAATTCATTTCTTTCTTTTTTTCTGCTGGTTCCTTGATCTTGGGCTAATTCATTTATTTCAGAGTGTTTTCAAGTTTTAGGAACTCATTTTTTCCCTTTCTAAAAATTTTTTAGTGATCCCCCACACACACACACAAAGATACGGCCTCACTATATTTCCCAGGTTGGTCTCAAACTCCTGGCCTCAAGCAATCCTTCTGCCGCCTCAGCCTCCCAAGTAGCTGGGATCACAGGCATATGAGCCACCACACCTGGCTTCCTTTTACATATAACTTTATTTTTCAAATGGTTGAGACATTTACATGATTCCAAAGTCAAAATCATGTGAGATAACACTCAAAGAATTTTTGCTTCCATCCCTTTCTTCTTACCTTTATTCCCTCTCTGCCTATACATAGTGAATTCAATCAGGTTTTGGTTTAACCTTCCAGAGTTTCTTTTTTTGTTTGTTTGTTTTGAGACAGAGTCTCTCTCTGGAGTGCCGAGGCGCGATCTCTGCTCACTGCAACCTCTGCCTCCCGGGCTCAAGCGAGTCTCGTGCCTCAGTCTCCTGAGTAGCTGGGATTACAGGCATGCGCCACCACACCTGGCTAATTTTTGTATTTTCAGTAGAGACGGGGTTTCACCATGTTGACCAGGCTGGTCTCGAACTCCTGACCTCAAATGACCCTCCCGCCCTCAAATGACCCTCCCGCATTGGCCTCCCAAAGTGCCAGGATTACAGGCATGAGCCACCGCACCCGGCCTCTTTTTGTAAATATAAGTAAATACATGTTTGCATACATATATTTACATTGCACCCCTTTCTTACACAAATATAGTATACTATATGCAGATTGTAAACATTCCTTTTTTCACTTAATAATATATCCTAGAAACCACTCACTCTCTGCAGGTAGAATTCTTTCCCTCTCTCCTCTGTGCTCCGCTCCTCTCCCTCTCTCTCCTACAGTCACATAGCACTACTCCATTGTGTGGCTGGGTCATGGTTTGTTCAACCGAGCCCCAGCTCGTTTGGTGGTTTTCCTCCAATGAGGAACCATCCCCAACGCCCTGGCTATCCCTACCTTTACTGCTCCCAAGTTCTTAGGTGGGAAACTACGGGTGAAGGGTGGCAGTTGTCCTGCTGGGATCAAAGGTCAGAGACGGGGCACCCAGAGACATTTGCTAAGCAGGCTCACACAGGGAGATGGGGTACTTTTTAGAAGGTGACATTTCTCTTGCTGAAACCTGCTCTATTTTTCCTGTCAATGCAGGTCTGGAAACAGTTGCCACATCTAAAGGCAGTCGTGATATATAAAGAACCTCCTCCAAACAAGATGGCCAATGTGTACACGGTATGGGCAGTGGGGCCCTGGGCACCAGGTGGGATCTGTTGGGCCCACCCAGCTGACCTAGCCTGCCTGTTCCCTGCATCTGGCTACAGATGGAGGAATTCATGGAGCTGGGGAATGAAGTGCCCGAGGAAGCCCTGGACGCCATCATTGACACCCAGCAGCCCAACCAGTGCTGTGTGCTAGTCTACACTTCCGGCACCACTGGGAACCCCAAGGGCGTGATGCTGAGTCAAGACAATGTAGGACAGACGCCTGGTGTGGGGGTGGGCAAGGGGGTTATGGGTGAATCTGGGCCATGGCTCTGCCCCAGTAGCCCCTGGGAAGGCTCCTTGGGCCCCTCTGCTCTAGGAGCTGGGATAGGTAGAACAGCCCATCAGTCTGCGGCCCAGACTGAGCCCAGCAAGGGGGAGGGGAGGCCTGTCCTAGGGTTTTCAGAGCCTGCAGAGATGCCACAGGGGGCACCACACTGGGGCTGGCCCTCAGGGTGGCCACAGTTGTGAGCACCGCCAGGGCTGGCTTGTGGACGCTGCTGGGATCCATCTACTTGTCCTCCAGATCACGTGGACAGCAAGGTACGGCAGCCAGGCCGGTGACATCCGGCCGGCAGAAGTCCAGCAGGAGGTGGTAGTCAGCTACCTGCCCCTCAGCCACATTGCTGCCCAGATCTACGACCTGTGGACAGGCATCCAGTGGGGGGCCCAGGTCTGCTTTGCCGAACCCGACGCCCTGAAGGTCAGTCTGCCTTTACTGTGCGTCCATCCCAGCCCGTGTGCCAGGCCACGTCCACGTGTGTCCGTGGGCCCTGAGTGTGCATTTGTGTGTGTGCCGTTCCTGTGCATGTATCAGTCAGAATTCTGTCAGCTGCAATGGGCACAGCCTGACTCAAATGACCAAACAAGAAGGTAAACTGGGCCAGACGTGGTGGCTCATGCCTGTCATCCCAGCACTTTGGGAGGCCGAGGTCGGCAGATCACAAGGTCAGGAGATCGAGACCATCCTGGCTAACACGGTGAAACCCTGTCTCTACTAAAAATACAAAAAATTAGCCGGGCATGGGTGTGCGCCTGTAGTCCCAGCTACTTGGGCGGCTGAGGCAGGAGAATGGGGTGAACCCAGGAAGCGGAGCTTGCAGTGAGCGGAGATCGTGCCACTGCGCTGCAGCCTGGGCGACAGAGCGGGAACCTGATGCCATTACATAAAGTGGAGTGAGAGTGGTTCATGGGACTTGTGATACGATCAAGGACGGGTGTCCTCAGAGTATCACCAGATGGCTACAGCCCTTCCCTGAATCCCAGACTCACAGGATATATCTGTTCTTGGGACCCTTATTTTAACTGTGAGGAAAACGTTCCCAGAAACCCCCCAGCCAGTTTCCCTCCACCAGCATCTCAGTGTCCCAAAGTGTCACCTGTCTATTCTCAAACCAAATGCTGCCGAGGGGAATGGGATTCTTGTGTCTGAGTTAGACTCATGGAGAGTCACCACGCTCAGGGCTGGGATGAGACTGAGGCCCTTCTGAAGCACTGGCTGCCTGACGGCTGCCTGACCACTGCCTGCCACCAGGGTTCTGTGAGCAAAAAGCGAGGCGACAACCATTAAGGAAACAGTATGTGCCATACCTTGTGTGCAGGTGTGTGCGGGTGCCCGTTGAGCATGTGTGTGCTGCCGGCATGCCTGGCTGGTGAGAGGGGGCCCCTGGGCCCCAGCTGCCCCGGACCCAACAGGGCTGCCTCTTCCGGTGTGAACAGGGGAGCCTGGTGAACACGCTGCGGGAGGTGGAGCCCACATCGCACATGGGGGTGCCCCGGGTGTGGGAGAAGATCATGGAGCGCATCCAGGAGGTGGCGGCTCAGTCTGGCTTCATCCGGCGCAAGATGTTGCTGTGGGCCATGTCGGTGACCTTGGAGCAGAACCTCACCTGCCCTGGCAGGTACAGAGGGCCCACGGGCGGGAGGCCTGGGGAGGCAGTGCACTGGGTCATAACCCAAAACACAGTGAGAGTCTGATAGGCCATGCCTGTCCCAGCTCCAGTGGCCGGGCAGCTCTGGAGACCCCATGCAGATGCCCCATCAATGACTGGGCTTGAGCTCCTATGCGTTTCCCAGGGCCTGCTGGGGAGAGTCGCTCCACCTTTGGATTCTGACTGGGAGGACTAACTTGCTTTCTCTGAAGTGAAATTCACCTCCCTTGGAGCAGCTCCTGGCACAGTCTCCTGAGGTCTTCTGTCCTCAGTAGGTGGCCGGAGAAGGGGCCACAGTGATGAGGACTTAGCCTTTCCAGTATCCCAAGTAACCCCTCAAATGTCTCACCCTTTCTTTCTATAGCTTTTAAAATTCCCACATAGTT